TTGCATTCACAATTGAAAATATTTTTTATAAATATTTCAGAAGATATTTTTAGCAAGTTTCATTTATTTTGTAAATCTCTTACTTAACTAATCGATATCCGGGCAGAAGAGCTGTAATTTCTCAAGCTTAAACAATTTCCTACAGATGTTTAATATCTGCAATTAATTTTCGTGGAAACTTTAATTTGTAGGCTTTTGTTCGTCTAAAATACATTTTAAATCGTTTATCAGGAATATCAAACAAGCACCTGGAAAAACAATCTGACATTCTAATTCTACACTTCTAAGATAGAAAATTCTAAGATAGTGAAATCGTCTATTCATTAATTTAAATTGTTGATTATAATTATTTCTGCCTTTTTGTTAAAATAAAATCGCAAACTAATGAGATTTTGATGTCTTTTTTAATGATTCAATTCACACTGAAAGACACCTGAGTAAATTATTTAAATTTATTTGATCAATTCTAAGTAGATAATCTTAATTTTGAAAATCTAAAGCAAAACGTTTAATGAAAACATTTAGTTTTTGTTGCTGGCTGGCAGTTTTGATAATTATATGTAATAATTTTCAATAATTCACTCTCAACATTTTTTTTGGAAACATTTTCGGGTATTCTCATCGGGACATTACTTTAACTTGCAAAAAACATCTTTTTAATTTCATTCAATTTATTTATCAAATCAGAATCATCAAATAGAAATGCTTAAATTTTTTATTGTGTACAATTCAATATTTCATTCAAGCTGTTGCATCCATCAAACTACTTGGGGATATTTAAAATTCAATTTATTGATATTTTTCCTAGAAAAAAGTTTAATTTCTCACGTGGTTGGTCAAGTCTCAAGAGTGGAACCCTTGAAAACAAATAGAGAAACAATCAAAAATGACGAATTTAGATATAAGTGAACTTGGACGTTTGAAAAGAGTTTTATATTAAAAAGCCTTTCCACATTTAATATCTTAACAAAATGTCAATATAATTTTGACATTAGAAGTCTTCCTAGAATTTCGGATTACAGGATATGCCAATAAATGTCAATTTTGAAGTTTGTAAATCAAATCTAAAAAGACAACGATTGATGGTAATAAATCGAGTTTTGATAAAATCAAATTCATGTAGAAAATCAAGTAGAAAATTATGGAAAGCTAATTTGAAATTTTCGATCCTACTGAAATTATTTCTGATTCATGAAAATAAATATTCAATGAGAAATCAAATAAACATTAGATATTCTTGAATTACATTCATTGATTGATATTGCCTACGTGAAATATTCTAAAAAACTAAAATTTTACGAACTCTCCTACGCCATTCTTCCACTTGAATTCAATCCCATTTCAAATTTGTTTTCGCAGAGGGTGGCAACTTTATGATAAAGTTACTTTATCTAAATAACATTTTGCCGTATGGACAACAACAATATGAAATCCTTGCAAGGGCAAAACAAAACTTATGAAAAGATCTTCTCATGGAGTTTCATATCTTCTTAGCGTCCTTTCTGTATACTTCACTGCTTCAATTTCACTTCACTCATTCACTGAAGTAGATAATTTATATTTACCTTTTCTTGTTTACTTTCTACAGATTTTTAAATTTTGAATATTATTTCATTAAACAGTCTTGGAATACAAATCAAGTTTGCTTCTATTTTCACGTGTTTTAAATGAACAGCTTACTTGAGAATAATTTATAATTCATTCATTTTAAATTGACGGAAGTTGGGAGGATCATGAATAAAAATTAGTAAGCAATCTATTGATTATTGGGGTCGGCAAAGTACTTACTCGAATACTACGTTTACAATTTGATACTCTCGAAAGTTATTTTAAGATTGAAATGATTGAAAACTAAGTGCAATAAGAGGGAATTATTACGTATTAAAATGTAGCAGGTACAATTGAGGCTTCAAACTTCTAGTTTAATATAAATTTACTAAATATGTAATTTTTTCTGCACATACGCGTCAAGTTCATATAAAATGTTAAACAATCTGACAATTTCAAACTAAAACACGTATTTGCAACTTGGTGACAACAACTGAAAATAACAGCCACATGTAGATAGATAAAAAACTTTCAACCTTCTTTTGACTCCATCGAATAAAAAAACGTAATAAATAAATCAATTCTAAAAAGAAATTCATATTTATGAAATTGAGAGAATTTCATAAATTCTGATGTTGCTT